TATATATATATATATATATATATATATATATATATAAATAATGTAACTTATTTCTTTGATGGCAAAGCTGAATTTTCAGCAACCATTACTCCAGTCTTCAATGTCACATGATCATTCAGAAATCAATCCAATGTGCTGATTTTGTGCTCAAGAAACATTTCTTATTATTATCAATATGTTTGCATGGATGCAAATGTTTTATATGTGTGAACATAGGGAATGGTAATAAGACTGCACAAAAGTGAATATTTGAGCTGGAATACAAAACCTAGAAGGAGACCATCTGCTGACTCTCTCAACTAAAAAGGAAAATAAACAGATTTGCAGTAAAGCTGTACACTGTAAGATTAGAAGTCTGCTAAAAGTGTGTCCCAGCCCTCATTCAAGAACAAAAAGCTCTTCCCTTGGTTCTTACCCGTGAGGCCAACTTTTTTCCTACAAGCAAAGCATCGATTCTTCTTTTTGTTCTTGTCAGGAGTCTGATCTCCGTCTGAAGAAGCCTGTGCAGCTTCCCCTACTGGCCCTGTGATTACAGACATGGTCAGCCTCATTTCTAAAACACAAACTTCCAAGCTTCTGAGGCTACATGATACTCTGACACTCAGATCAATAATTTAATGAATCATCAGTATTCATGTCTTCGCATAAAGAGAACTGAATGGAGCTCTTTTGTTTAGAGTTGTTCAAGTTTTTCAAGGTTTGTTTCTTCTTTCAAAGGGATCATGAACTGCATTTTTTAAAATTATTTTATAACGTTCTCTGAGGTTCACTTATAATGTTAGTGTGATTTTACATTAAAAAAAACATCATTTAGAATTAAAATTATTTTTGTTATTTAAAATATTTTCGAATTATTTTTGAGCCTCTCTGCAGAAGAGGTCTGTTTATATAGGCGGGGCACATTCAAGACTCGCAAGTGAACGCCCACTGCTATGAATGAATGACTAACAGTTTTGCTTATTAAAATAACAGATGGACGCTGCTGTGCCGCAGTCTGAATGCAACATGGGTCATTTTAACATATACGTTAAAAACGTATAAATACTCAGTATATATGAAACGGAACTTTGTCTGGAACAGGCAATGAAATAGTGGTAAAAACATGTTTACTCACACTTATGTGTTGCGACATTACTGTTGGATCCACTCTAGTCAGACTCAGCACTGCATCATCATTTACTTTCAGTCTCTCTGAAAAGCCTGCATCATACTGTCTTGTTGCAAATCCGTAGCAAATTAAAGCAAACAAACAAACAGCGTTTCACTGACACGATCTGGAGCTCTTTGCTAATTTTACTGTGTTTACACCGGAAGCGAGTGGCGCAACGCGACTATAGACAACAGAACCCCTTATAATCGGCGATTCTGTCTACACTGGATGCTGGATGATAACTGGATGCTTGTTGGATGCAAGCAGCGATGATGGGCCCAAGCCAGCACAACCGTGGCATCAGGAAAACGGTGCACAGCGGGCACATGCATTTACAGTAACCCTCTGGCAGTCTGGTTTTAAGGGATACAGCAATAAAAGGGTTACACTAGAACATCAAGAGTGTGAAACACACACACACAGAAAACAATATATAAAACTTTGGTAACACTTTATAAAGTTTCATTTGTTAACATTCATTAACTATATTAGTTAACATGAACAATAATTATATAGCATTTATCAATGTTAGTTAATATTAAGTTCAAAACTTACTGATAAATTAATTTAAAGTTGTATGTTAACATTAGTTAATGTACTATGAATTAACGAACATTTTTATTAAGTAACATTAAAAGACATTAATAAATGCTGTAAAAATATATTGTTTATTGTTAGTTCATGTTAGTTAATGCATAAACAAATGTTAACAAATGAGACCTTATTGTAAAGTGTTACCAAAACCTTTTAGAATCTATAAGAATTTTTTAAAGATTTTAATTATCTATAAGCATTTGTGAAATAATTATATAAAGCTATATTACCAGTACAGTACATATTAACTCATTTTAGGTATTTGTATGTCATTCTAACTATTTGAACTGGGCAGTAAAGAATCAGGCTTAAAAGATTTCTTATCCAATGACAACCATAGTATTACATAGTGCAAATTTTGTCAGCTATTTTCATTTTAGTCTTAGTCTCGGGCTAAAATGTCCTTGTTAGTTTTTATCATATTTAGTCAACCTTATCCTATTTAGTTTTAGTCAACTAAAAGTCTCAACATTTTAGTCTAGTTTTAGTCAATGAAAACTTGACATTTTAGCAATAAGATTATTATTAATTAACCGTACAACAGTATTAATTTTGGCAGCGATTTTTTATTTAGTCTTAGTCTTACTCAATGTACATTTTAGTTATCGTATTCATGTTTATTCAATGAAAAGAATTAGTATTTTAGTCAAGTTTTTTAGTCAATGAAATAGTCACATTTTCGTCATTCTGTATAATGGTTAAACTGATAAAAATTAATTTTTTCTCAATTTATAATTGTAATGATTGTTGTCATTTGAGAAATTTACTTTTTCATTTCAGGTAGGCCTACTGCACTTTCTCCAGTAAGCACAAATAAATAGAATGTGGACACATACATGGTGTATTTTACCTCATCTAGTGTACTGATTTATTATAGGCTTTTTATTATATAAATCAACACCAAAGACTTATGCAATCTCTAAAACAAACAAAAAATATTATAACAGTGAAATTCCTAGTAATTCCATAATTGCAATAGTCTATTTCTCTATTAAAACAACAG